TATTTTGACTCGAATACAACAATGATTTGGGGGAAGACGCGGATGGGTTATTTCCCCTGAACGTGGGCGTTATGACAGAGGCAGGCCATAACCGTTGCGAGGCATAACCCCTCCTATCTGGAAAAGTCGGCTTGACCGATCGGCTCCCGCGAAAACGTGGCGGTGTCAGTTCTCGCGCGCGAGGCGGGGTCAGCAATGACCCGATGGGGAGATGCAGAGACGATATCTCTTTGTATCTTGATTTTGAGTCAATTTGGTTCCCGACTTGGATGCAGAGAGTCTACCTATCGGTCGTCTTGAACCGGATCCTACGGTAGTTCCGATTGCGGACGCAGGGAGTTGAGTACTGATCGGAGACGTCAGTCTTTCTCTCGAATCGGACTCGCCAAGAGGAAACGGGACTGACCTAGTAAGTCGATTGTACGGTTTGCGTCGCGTCGCGTCTATTCTCGCGTCTATTTTCTTAGTTAAATCGATTGCTTGATAGAGACAGGCACGGAGATCGAAGGAACTTTGTTTCCTTCTATTTCTTTCTTCGCGTACTTAGTGTCTAAGATTGTACATAAATGGAGATCGAAGGAACTTTGTTTCCTTCTATTTCCTCCTTCGCGTACTTAGTTTCTAAGATTGTACAGAGAGAGATCGAGGGAACTTTGTTTCCTTCTATCTCTTTCGCGGGTCTCCACTCGCAGCAACCTCCACGTGGTGAGACCTGGTAATCGGTATTACTCGCGACAAAGAATCATTTGTTTATCCTTTGTCGCGAGTAGTAGCGAGCTAATAGCTGCAAACTTGTAATAATATCTTTAGATGTAACAAGTACCACGCTTTACAAGTGCAACATCTTAGACACAATGGTGAAGTTTTATTAATTCTGCGCAGACATGTGGAAGATGATGCAAGTGACTTGCGATGCAACGAGTTTGTCATCACAAGTCTATTACATCCTTTTCAGAATACCTTTTAGTAACTAAAAGTTGGATAAGGAGCAACACGATTCGAGCTGGTTTAAATTTTGTCGCTCGGTCGCGCGACATTTAAGTTGGCGCGAATAGAACCTACACCTTGCTCCCACTCTTGCCGTGGCTCAGCTAGGCGCGATTTTGTCGCCGCGCGACGTGCAATTAGGATAAGGCGTAAGTCTACTTCCGGTCGCGTCGTGTCGCGATCTCCATTTAGCTCCATTTAGTTAAAATAATTGTTGCCAGAGTCAGAGTCAGACTTTGGAAATCGAAGAAAATTTTGATAGTTTCGTATTTAATATTAAGCTCCCCAATTGTATAATGTATGTAGAGAGAGATCGAAAGAACTCTGATTCCTACTATCTCTATAAAACCTTCTATATGAATAAATGGTACATTATAAGATTGTAAGAAAGATTATAAGAAAAAGCTATTGTTTTTATGTTTATTGAAAAGAATATATTTAAGTTTAAGATTAAGAGTGGAATTATTAATATAAATAGTAAAATAAAAGATAAGTTTAAAATGATATATTAGGTTGTCCCAAAAGTTTATTTCGCTTTATTAATAAGTAATACATGCACAATATTTTATGTTTTATGTTACATTACTGAATTGTGCACGATTCATTTTGCTCCATTACTGTTACAACATGAATATCTACGAAATGAGATTGTCTATTTATATAAACACGACCACATAAAATAATTGAGTGCAACTCGCGAAAGAAACTTTCGGGACAACTATATATTTATTTTAAATCAAATTATTTCATTGGAAATTAAATGTAAGTTTTATACTATATATATATTTAGTTAAATATTCATCAGTATACAGTTACTATCAAGGTCATTCCGCGAATTCGGACGCTGAATGGAGCAACATCTCAGATTTTGTGCACATTTGAGTACGTTACAGTCTTTTACTTAAATCTTTACTTAATGTTTCACGCAATGTATCAGCGGCGTTTGTATCACGTTTTCCTCATATTAATATTGCGTGGTGGAAATATATTTCGATAAATGGTCGTTTCCCTTAATTAACAGCTACGTACATTATGGTTGAGTGAACCGAAGAAGTTAAAGCTGTGTGACAGTAACGCGATCATCGTTAATAATGTTTCGTGCTAACGTTCGTCTCAATTAAGCAACATGCTCTTGTATCGACGAATAATTAAAAAGTTTTTGTACTCCAAATTGAAATTAAAAGTCATCAAGTGACTCCTCATAAGCTATTCAAACGATTCAGAAGATCATATTTAATTAATTTATACTTTTTGTCTCTATGGTTTTATTTAATAGAAACCAGTTTTGACAATTCTATGGTATAGATGAAACACGACAGCTTTGATGCTTTCATTAAACGTTTGTATTTGATAATATCCGATCAGAAACCGTTAGTTATTGATTCGTGATTGGAGTACAGCGATATTCGTTTATTGCCACCAGTTGCAGACAAAAGAAGCTTATTCTGCGTTTCAGTAGTTAAATCTGCCTTTAGTCAGGCCAGTAGAATAACAGGATTGGCGAATATCAACTTATATAATGTTTTCGATCGCTTTTGCTTTTTATTTCCTAATGAATAACAATTATAAAATCGTATTTCTTTGACTTAAAATAATATCACGTCAAAATGTTTATTAAGGAATAATAATTTACCAGCCTTAAACACTCTATCATTTATTTATATTTCGATTATGTGGGGGTCCGATGGGCCTGGGAAAATATTTGAGCTCCATGCTCTATAATTTAAAAACATTTACTTTTACTTTTCGATTACGTGTTTCAGGGTCAACTTCAGAATCTGTTCATTTAACAATTGAATTTACTAATATTAATTTTACATGTGCATGTTAACATAATCTTCAAATATTAAACATTTTTTTTTTATTTGCAATCAGTTTCCTTGCTTGAGGGAAATAATTAGAAAGTAATTTCAAAACTGGAATTTGTGAAGTCACAGTTGCATACATAAAAGGATTTTTGGGTTACAGGGGGATTACATTAAAAAACTGTGAATTATAATGATTTTCATTTAATATATTTTCGTAGACAGTCCTTTCAATTTCTCTCGCAAAAAGTTTACATTATTCAGAATTAACACGTAAAATTTCTCAACGAGCAGTCTCCTTGACTAAGAACTGCGTGAAGGCGAATATTCCTGAAATAAATAATGCATATTAATGATAAAATCGTTAACTAATTAAAATGCTAATGAAAGACAAGTACATACGATCGATCCGTGCTCTCTTGTATCTGTCCTCAACAAAAGACTTGGTTAGATTTTCTATCGTTTCCTCGCATTTATAATCAAATTGTTTCAAATTTCTCTTTAATTCGAGATATCTAATGATCGAGTTAACAAAAATTGTCAATTAAGGTGGTCGATTCCAAAATTTGCGATATAATTGCATATAAAGGATACAGTTCATTATAATAATTAAAAGAATCGATAGTCCACTCCAACAGCAAATTCAGTTTCGGTCTCTCAGTAGTACCATCGACTAGTTCTTTCATTGTATCGTCGTTTATAGAAACCTTACTTCGAGCATCTTCCACATTTTTCAAACGGTTGTTTAGATCCTAACATAATATTCCAATCGATAACATAATCTTACAACTCTTACTAAATTAAAAAAAGACTGAAACAATTTTCATTTATTTTCGTGCGATCATTTCAAGCTCGTAAAGTTTAAAGGAAGAACATAAAATTCTAATTTCACGAAACAGATCGATGATGAACCAGAAATAGGCAGCATACTCATCCAGATAAAAATCTCTCGAATAATGAGTGAAAACTAAATAACTTTTAGTTACTTAGAATTAATTTATTGAAACTTATTCGTATAGATCAATTAAAGAAACGCCATGAAAAATTCGCTAGATGGTAGCGTTTTATATGTTCACATAATTTTCAAAAATTAAAAATCTTTTTCATTTGCAATCAATTTGTTTCCTTGATGGAGGTAATTAACTTATTTTATATGTTCAATTTATATGTTCACATAATTTTCAAAAATTAAAAATCTTTTTCATTTGCAATCAATTTTTTTGCTTGATGGAGGTGATTAATCACATTCGTGAATATGCATTTAAAAATTGAGTAGATGTGATGTAAAATTCGTGATTTACTATTCGAATAGCATTTTGCCCGTCTCTATATTAATCCATTCAACAAATAGACAAACAATCGATGCGAATGTTTGATATAATGGTCTTATTTACTTGAGTGACATTATTGAAACGCGTCGAGATATCCGACATGAGTACAATTTCGTTGTCGATCCCCATCATGATTTTATACATTAATCTTTCGTACAGCTCCGTTCTCTTGCAGAAATCTGCATCGTTCACCTCTTTGCTGTAACACAACGACACCTGGCGGTAGGTCAGTGAACATTCATTGAATACCGTTGTTGGTATGTCTAAAAATGACTTGTCGAGCTTCGTTTCTAGAAACCACAGTCGAAGAACAACTTGTGATACACAAACAAAAATTGTAAAAAGTTGACGTTACCTTGTGACTAGTCGGAGTTGTTCTGATTGATTCCTCAAGGCTTCCAGGGGACGCCTGGCTTCTTCGGATAATTCTTTCCACTTGGAATCGACTTTTCTCAACTGTGAGAAATAATTAATCAAACATTTGTGTAGTTCCGTTGCCATATCTCTTATAGGTTATTCTTGAACAAATCTTGTGCAACGCGTTCTTCGCTACGGGAACTAGAGTGCGCTAGTTGACGTAAATATTATGAATCTAACGGAAGTGATCTATACGAATAAATATAACTTCTATTCCACGTTAACATTGTTCACTGAATTCATTTGAAATACTTAAACAATTGCGTAGTAATTCGTGGTAGAATTTTAAATAATTACATTAGCTTATCTATTCGTTATAGGATTTAGAAATAATTTATCAAATATTCGGTTCCAAATGCCATCAATAGAAGAAAGCTGTACTGTAAACGTATTGTGACGTTTCCTATTAATGAGTTCTAATTAAAATGATAGCAAATAATAAAATGTTTGACTATATACAAGAAATAATTGGCTGTCTATTTATTATTTTATGTATAATTTTTATGACTATTCCACAAATTAATAAAGATCGATACTTACCATTCTACCTCAGTCTAACGAAGCAGCAAGTTATTTCACATTCTATCAAATCTATCATTCGTCAAAGAAATTTTATGTCGGTTATTTGTATTAAAAATTCAGGTCATCGAATTTTGTTACTATTATCCAGATGTGATCTCATTTGCGAGGTTTGTAAGCTTGTAAAGCTTGTAAATTCATTCATTTACTTGAATATGAAGCTTACAAAAGCAAATTATGAAATACGAAATACAATTCGATTTATCACATTCGTGAACATTTATTTAAAAATTGAATATGAACGTTTAATATTTATCGTTTTATCGTTCTACCTTGACCCACAATGAAATTTCTTCGATTACACAAGTATGTCATCCACGTCCTATAGAAAGAACGTTAATTTTTAAACCGTCGACGCCTTGAATCCTTCGATCTTGAACCTAAGTTTAAAATGTTCCTAGTTTAGTGTGTCCCACAAACAAAATGATAACATGACTCATGGTCTTGAAACTTTGTTTATTGACAAACATCCTTCGACGGTTACGATGGATACGAGTGTATGTACACAAGTAAAATTCAATTTAGAAAATGTATTTTAATTAAATTGTACTACAAAGTAAAAATACATGTTTGTACTCGTTGAAATGAAACAGTTTCAGTGAACTGCCATATCATGCTCTTGGAACATTTCAACAGAGCAATTCGTGTGTCGGAAATGAAGCAATTATGTGTCAATATCCGATAGTTTTTTCGCCATAATTACTCGGAACTGGTTCAATAGGATCCTCGGAATGGCCATTACGAATCGTTCAACTGTACCAAATTAGATATCGATCACTTGTATGGAATTTTGAATTTGTATCCAATTTGAAGTACGAGCCCTCTGTTTATTCAAGTTTCCGTTCTATCACTCGTTCACGGTAAAAGGAATATACATTTACGTATTGTGCGATAATGAATTAATATTTTCAAAGTAAAAGAGACAGAGGAACTTGATATGATTTATTTATTTTATAAGGGTACATAATCTGTCTTACATCGATTATTGCACCTTTTAGTGCATTTACTCTTGCATGTTAAAATTCACAGCCTTGTGTTACACTTGTTATAGTATATGACTTCCACGTAAAAATATTTTAAATATATTTTACGTGGAACTCAATTAAATAATTCGCGAAACAATTATATATATATATATAATTCATACATTGCATGTCAGAACTGTATATAAAAATTTGCAAACGATCGTTTGATCGTTAGTTGTAGATTTAGTATTAAAAGGAAAGATATTAGATATTAGATTATAATAAAAAAATATTTTAAATATATTTTACGTGAACTCAATTAAATAATTCACGAAACAATTATATATATAATTCATATATTCCACGTAGGAACTATATATAAAAATTTAAAAACGATCATTTGATCGTTAGCAGGGCCGGCGCAAGGCAGGTTCAGCGCGTTCGCCGGAACCCGGCCCCGCGTTTTAAAAGGTCCCACGGTCTACGAAAATTACTGAATTAAAAGGCACCGATTTTAATTAACTTTTTACAGATTGATGACACCATTAACAAATACAAGACATTTCTTTAGTAGCGCTGATTAAATTGAAAGGAGTGACAAAAATCATCAAAGTATTATTATTTAATATTCATATTGTAAAAAATATATAATATGTAACAGCATTTGTAAATAAATAATTCCTCGTTGTAAAATTGAAGTGTAGTATTTGAATGTGAATCCAGGCCCCGCAAAAGGTCACGCTGGCCCTGATCGTTAGTTGTAGGTTTAGTATGAATAGGAAGGTAAGGGCACCCGCGCGAGTGTACACATCCCTGGGATTCCCTCGTGTCAGGTCGGCGTCACGGGGGGAGTCCGGCGGGATCAGCCGAACGAACTCGACGAGATGGTGTGATGCGCACGCAGCCGACAGTATCCCTTGCGCGTTCGGTAGGGTTCGGTAACGTTCGGAGAACGTTTGGCCGGTTCGTTCGGTCGAACAGACCGCGAGAGCACAGTATACCGTTGACTGACAACCCCTTCGTGTGCGATGATGTCTCGCCGCGGCTAACCGAAACGTCCCCTTTCCCTTTCTCTTCGTTTTCTCCCCTGTCCACCTCGGTTTCGTCTACATATTAAAACAGTGCCAAGAATATCTAACGTAACGTCGAAAAGTTCGCACCTGTCGACACGTATCGACGTTTCGCGGCTCGCAGTGTGTGACACGCCGAGCCGAAGCCGCGTCTCTGTATTAGGATTTTTGTCTGACCCCTCTCGCTGTCTACCTTTCTTTCTCTTTCTCCGATCGAGGGAAACATGGATGAAGCGAACGGAAAGATGCGGAGCAAGCACGAGGACGTGGATACCGCATCCCTTGGCGCTGACATCCTGAATCCGTTCGTGCATCGTCTGGAGCTGGACACAACCTACGACAAGCTCAAGGTCAGTAGCTCTTCGAATCTCCTTGCACGCGAAAATCTCCCTCGGGATCGATGTTCACGCGTTACCCGAGTATTTAGGGGTTGTTCGAGGGCGGGGCGGATTGGGGGAGATTTAATTCGTGCGAGGAAACGTCGACGTCTCCTGTTTCGCCAGGCACGCCGGTATAGACGAACTGAAATATTGTATCGCAAAAATAGATCTAATTTTTGGCGCTGCGCGACTTTCTTTTGTGACGCGGTCCGTGGACGGTTGTTTTCGCCGGCTTTCGCGAAGAGAAATATAGTTAACAGAGGTGGACAAAATTTGATGAGTGATAATAGTAATAGATAACGGATTAAAATGTAACGACTTGTATTTGTGATTTTCGATAAGAACTTTAACCATCTCTTATTGAAGGTGCTGTTGAAATAGGCTTCGAGATGTTTAGAGTTCACGACACGGTTTAAATCGTAACCGTTACGGCCCTTTAAGTTAGGGCAGGTGGGCAAAATTTTTGTCTAGTTATACCATGGATATGAATCTACGTTTGTCTATGAGATGTACATTTCAAGTAACAAATTAAAGATGAACAACATTTTATCCATTACTTGATGAATAAAGACTCGAATGGATAATTGAATGTTTGCAAAACTGACATTTCTTTTTTTTCTAACAATATTGAGTTATTGACAAGCACAAGATTCTATTGTATTAGCGTATCGATGCATTCGAGTAAATAAGTCGCAAATAAATCGCAATATATGAGTTCGTTTCGTCATCTACAATTTGAATAAAATTTTTCTGGGCTCATCTTGGACATGACGCGGTATAGGATTTTGTAAAAAATTTGAAACAATCGCACCCAATACATTGACACGTGGTTTAAACGTCGCTTTAACGAGGTTATCATTTAATTTGGCGAGGTTTTAAAAATAAGTTCCACAATAAAAGTTGTATTAACAAAATTTTAGTCTCGTAGAAATGATTGAGCTGAAAGCGTTGAGGTTCACGCGACAATGTCCCATGTGGATTGTTTACAACACGCCGCGCTGCGTGACGCTCAATGTGCATCTCAGCTTTAGCTTTCGACTTCGAGCTTATACGCAGCTTTTAAAACGCATACTTCAAGGTTGAGCCTTAAGCTTCGATGACTCACTTGGAACAAATCTACCTGGACAATTATATAAATTGGTCACTTTTATTCGAATAATCTATATGAATAAAAGCTAAAAGAGAAGTTATTTATACTACTTCGCAGACCATTTATACTATCATATTTCAAGCACGTGTGTACGTAGCGGATACTTTTACCACTCATATTCGCCATCTATGGTATTCAAATAAAGAATATAGTTTCATTCGCCAGTACAGCATAAATTTTTATCAGAATAAAAGTAGATAATTTTCTAAATGATTTTTAAAAATGGTTATCAAGCTTTAAATGCAAACTTCGTAAACAGTGTTTGAACCGCTGCGGTCCTACGTCGAGTGAGGCTCGACGAAAATTACCAAAATCGCCAAATTGAACCAAAAGGGGTTAAAGTTGACCTCTGAAGCTTTATAAGTATATAACGGTGCTGTTACATAAAATTTGTCAAGCTTTTCGATGGACTCGAACGAGGTCGCGTCACACGGGCGTGAAAGTGATGTTCAGACAAGCGTTGTCGCGAAAACATTATGCGTCATTGTTTCGTCATTGTCAATAATTGATCGATTCTTTCAGGTCGTTAACAATTAACATCCAAATCGCGAAAATGAATCAGACAGGAAGAAGGACTTTTTTTACGTAACAATCCCGATTATGCCCTCGGTAGAAACGTATTTTTGTTTCTCTTTTCGTTTCATAACGAAACGTAATCGCTTAGGTGTAATTATGTTCGTGCCATGAATGAAGAAGTTATCAAAAGCAGAGTTGGAATTTTCGAAACGATGTACAGTGGATGTAGAATGTATTCGTACACCGATCAATTTCCCAAAAAACTTTTCTGTGAAATTGTAGTTTCTTAACTTTCTTTTTTTATAATCAATGATATTTTACATATTCTCGAAAGTCTCTAAGATAGATATAGATCACACAACATTTACTAGTTAATATAATTTGTGAAATTAACAAAAAAATGTGAAAAGTGGGTAAAAGTATAGAAGCAATAAGTATTTGTGCGATTCTTATGACCGAACCATTTACAGTAGAGTTTGTAACGTAAACTCATTAGTTTATTGCTTCGTACGAATTAGAAAACTTCAAATTTCCAGTAAGGTATTAGGTTGTCCCGAAAGTTTCTTTCGTTGTATTAATAATTAATATATACACGATATTTTATGTTTTATGTTACAATACTGAATTGTGTACGATTCATTTCGCTTCATTACTGTTACAGCATCAATGTCGAAGAAATTAGATTGTCTATTTATTACACTGCTACAGAAAATAATTGAATGCAACTCGCGAAAGAAACTTTTAGAACAACCTAATACTTTTAAAAA